GGGTGCTGTTTTATGCTGTTTCAATAGTTTGTTTATTTTGCAGCAAATGAACATGATTTCTATTGGCTACAAGTATTAGTCAAAATTCTGGAAAAATTATGAAAAACAATTTAATATTTGGCTTTTAAAATTTGTGATGAATGAATGACAAAAGTTGATTTTGGGGCTCAAAAGTTTGATATCGATATAGCCATTATGGAAAATAAACAATAAAAGTTTTAAAATGATTTTGATATAAAGAAGGGTACATTTACTTGACCTTGCTTGACCCATCTCTTTGATTTTTATTGTCAGAGTTTTCCAGTCTTAAAGAAGACAAAGGTTGTTAATGCCTCTCCAACTTGTGCTCTATGTGAATTTGTTATGCAACAATTAGACCAGATGTTAGGACAGAACGCAACTGAGGTATGTATTATATAAACAGACTTTACTAAAAGACCTTATGTGGACGGGATATCATTTGTATATCAAATTTGAATCCTACAGTATGGTATCATTATTTTTATCGTGTCTACCGTTAAAGTCCTATTATAAACCGCGGTTTATATTACAATGTATCAATTTAAAAATTGGGATCAAAAGCTCAAGTTCGGGGTGCGGTTTCTATTACGTACATATTGCAATCACTAAATGGGCGTGGTCATTTTTTGTCCACAACACATGCACAAAACAAACAATACACCGTACAATCTCTTGAATAGGCGTCGGGGAAGAGTGAAAGGCCTTATTTTGGTTCTAAAATAGGCGTTACGAAATGTTGAAAAATTACAATAAAAAAAAAATTCTACATGATACAAAAAATACTCAGTATTTTTAATGTAATATGCATTTATTTTTTTTAATTTTCTTGGTAACGAAAAGTATATTCTAACAGAAGTTTCAAATAAAAACACGAATGCACTGCTTAGTAGCAAATGATCACATAACGGTAGCTCGATCCGGCCATGCTGCTGGTCACAAGTGAATAACTTACTTGTTTTCGAAGTGTTGATATTGGTGATTATTATTTAGTAGTGATTACAATAACGCACGAAAAATAAATTCATTGAATTGTTATAAAATGCAAGTAAAATTCAAATTAGTTTCCCCGTAAGCGAATGATTTCAGTCACATGTAAACAGCCGATACCGTGACGATATCTGCCATGTTTTTGAATGCTCACGTGACGTATCATTGACCGGATAGGTCAAGCCGCTAATTAACCAATCAAAATGCTGGATGGTGCCCACGTGTCTAAATTATATAGCTCATTTAAATATGTTAATGACAGTTCAGCGACCTCATGGTGAACGCAACACGGAAGAGATTTACCGATAATGTAGTGCGATCTTTTGCCTTTGATTCCATGGGAAAACGGCATGATTTTTTTTTTAAATCAAGAAATTATTTGTTTTCGAAAGATAAATTATTCTTCAATGCTCAGTTTAACACTTTTACGGTGATAAAAGCTCATTGTCTAAAACTTGCGAAACACAGACGTATTCAGAAAGAGTATTGACAGAGGTCGCCGCCAGAACAAAAGCAGTTTCATTGCCTGTCTGACATCTTATCACCGCTGAACAATAAATAGGTGTGAATATTTTTAGGCATGTTGTCGAAACAAATGAATAGGATTAAGAACAATGCCGTTTTGGACCAGCTGGTTGAAACAATGAAGACAGTCACGGCCTTGTTGAATTGGGGGTGCGGTTAGTAATAGGTACTTTTCAAGTTTTCAATTTTTGTTAAGAACTCTTTAACCCCGAAGCCGGAATTGGGGGTGCGGTTACTATTACGTATGCGGTTTATATTAGGACTTTAACGGTAAGACATACAGCAATGCATATTCCCCAGTAATCAGTCAAATTGAAACAGATTTTGGCCACTACTTTGTCAATTTTTGCATGATGTTTTCACACAGGACATCTGTCATTCGCACTAAATAAAGTTTTTCCACTGATGAATTAGATGACCAAGTTTGATACAGTTTGGAATAGAATTAGTAAAGTTATTGTGTACACAATAACACATTAATTAATTATACCTTTCCCTTTCATTTTTGGTATGTGCAAGGTAAAAAACACGACTTATTACATATTTTTACACTGAGAACCTTTTTTCCATTTCAACCAAAGGACAAAATAGAGTGGCCATTGCATGTATGCTGCAAGTTTCAAATAACCACAAGTTGACAAAGATGGAACAATAAATACAGCACTTCTTGACATGTCAACATGTACACAGTCCACACTTACCTATCAGCTTCATCCAATACCACCCATTTCACTCGACTTAGCTTCAGACTTTCAGTATGTTCCAAATGATCAACTAGTCGCCCTGGGGTCGCAACAAGGATATTGATGCCCTTACGTATTCTTGCCTTCTCAGATTTTTTTTTCTCACCACCCATTATGCAACCAGGCACCAACCAATGGTAGGGCTGTTGGAAAAACACACAACCAGTTTAGTATCATGTGCAATTGCTGTCTTCATCATTATGGCCAAGCTGTGTTACAACTACTGATGATAATAGGAGCAATATTTGTCATGAACTACTGCCTATGTTTTGGATTGGCTGACATGGCAACAGTCTTAATTGTGGCATGTTTTGATTCTACTGCTGAATGAACAGTCAGTTAGAGAGACTGAACACCCTAGCTCTCTGATGTAAGACAAACATGACAACCACTGATGATGAAGTGAATAGGAAACTTACCTGAACAAGTTTTGAGATAACATCATAACTTTGAAGAGCAAGCTGTATGCAAATTAAAAGAATGAATTACAACCAATCAGAATAGTGCACATAGTGACCAAATATTGAAACCAAAAATGCAAAAAGCAAAAAAAAAATGACATTAATAGATCGCTGGGAGCTACACTGCATGTTACTGCACACATATTAGTAAAGTGTATAGGATGGAATGGGTTTGACTTGTATTCCTAACAACATTCTGTTATTAATGCAACTAATGTTATGTACATGTAAGAAGTCTAAGTATTAACTAATATATCCTGGAGTACATTGTACTAACAAATATGTTTCATAATAAATTGTTTTTTGACTTTCAGCATATTTCAAATTTGGTTAAAAGCTGTTACCGGTACTCAGGATTCTGGACAACGTTTGTACCATTTTTATTAATTGAAACTGTGAAACCAACATGCTGATGAAGTGGTTATAACAATGAAATACCTCTCTGGTTGGTAGTAATACTAATGCGTATGGTCCGTCACATCGCTGTATTTTTGGATCTACACGTCCCAATGTCTCCACAATAGGAATGGCATATGCAAGGGTTTTACCTGCAAATAAAAAAAATACCTGAATCAATGTAGGCATGCCTGTCTAGGTTATCCACGATTGGATTTCAAGCAGTATAAAATAAATGAAAGAACAAGCACTGACAATGAACAGTCCCCATTCTATATTTTAATGCCAAATTCCATGACTACCGGTAGAAGTGATCCAGAAGTGTGGGTGTACATTATGATAAATGTTCCTGTGATGTGGTCAATTGTTGCTGGCACTGTACTGTAATGGACTGAGCATATTTGGTTGAATCCCCCAAAACTGTAATGTGCCACAAAATCCAGTAGGCAGAATCATTGTACTGATTTTGTGGCTTGACGACTGAGCTGTATTTTATCAGGCGTCACTGAGCAGGTTCAATTTGTAGACTTATGGATAACACAACGTCTCGTAGTATGTAACTCAACAAACACTGTTTATTGTCAACTGACTAAAGTTTGGAACAATACAAAAAACTACACTATTGTGCTTGTGAGCTCGTGAAAACTCCAAAACAAGAACGCAATCGAACAGTAATAAAGTTGGCGCCCTGAAACTCTTTCTGGTACCGCCCTCTGATTGGTCATATTTATCGGTAATATTTAGCGTTCTTGCTGCATTCAGCCATAGATTTTAAATGAAATCCTGCAAGCCGTCTCACATCACAGGAACTGCTATAGTGGTCTGAGATGTAACGCACATTGATAATCCAGAAAACAAACGCTGAGTAGTCGCAGCAGAGCTATAATACACTGACTCATAAAAAGAAATTCCAGATTAAGAATTTCAGGCTCAAGAAAATAAACGTGTACCATGTGCGGTACACACAGAGATAAGGACAAATAAAACAAAATACACTGAAATCCTCAATGTGACCCCAAAACACAATACGATTAGTAAGCAATACTGCTTTCTTTGGTAAAAGCTTTGGATTAAATTTGGTGAGAAGACAGCCAAAGACTGCAGGATTCTGAGATCGTTCCATAAACAAGTCATGCTACGTCAATGCCAGGAACACCATCAGATAGAAAGATAGAAAGTGGTTTGTCATGCACGCCAGTGCAAAGGTCAAAATTGTAACGTCTGCTGAGAGTAGCACTGATATTTTTATTTTAAATTATGATTTCAGTTATATTTTTATTTTAAATTATGATTTCAGTTATATTTTTATTTTAAATTATTTCAGTTATATTTTTATTTTAAATTATGATTTCAGTTATATTTTTTATCCTAGTCAAAACAGAAAATGAAAAAGTGTTTTTATAAAAAAATGCGACACTTACAAAAACGCCAAACTTAATGTTTTGATTTTGAAAGGTGAACACGAAGGTCACTGTAAATTGAATGATATTTCGTTGATTTTGTTATCTAAAACCTACAAGACCTTGTTGCATTTGAGACCTGCATATTAGTTCATCACATTAAATTATGATTTTTGTCCAAGATTCTAAAAAAACACAAAAAGAAAATACCGCAGGAAATTACCACATCACTTCTGCGCTGTTGGTGGCACTAATCAAATCTAATAATCATGCCCAATAATGGTCAAAACGCTCGGCTGCGTTTCAGCTGTTCATTCTAGTACTACTATGAAAGACCTTGTTTACTGACATTTTAAAAGGTGAAACATTGTGAGGTGTTGTACGTATGGATGCCATAATGATTCATGTTAAGTTTTTCAAAATCCCAAATAAAAAATTATGTTGTTGGTTGCAAAAAATTGGCAGAAGAACTAACCTGAAAGTGAAGACACGTACAACGTTCTAGCTATAGTAAACAGTGAATAAATAAATATTGTAAACAGGGATTGCGTTAACCCCATATTTTGCTTCCCGGACTCCAATTATTGAAGAGGGACCCAGTTTTTCAGACAAGCTGGGGTCCAATGTCTAATAAATTGATCCAGGGTCATATATAAATTTCTTAAATTTTTTTAAATGGGACTCGTCTTGTCGAGACACTAGCGCAAACCCTGTGTAAAGTACATGTTTGTATGGTTTGGGAATACAATGAATATTAAATGTCATTAAATTCTGAACAACACTTCAAATCTACCGGGTATACCACTTTATAACGTTCACAAACGCAACTTGAACTGTATCCTCTTGTAACATGATTTGGGTGCTTGTTTTGATTTTAGCAAATTAAATGAAATATTTTATTTTATGGAAATGGGATGGAAGTGTTACTGTGGACAAAGTGAAAGAAAAAAGCAGTTTCAAGAAAAATTTTGTCTATGTGAATTTAGCATACATGTGTTTCACAACATGCTGATAGAGTGGGACTGTGTTCTGTTTGTATCTAGGGCCGCTCAATCCTTTCAATAATGATTATCGAGACAGTTATGAAATGGGCAATGCTGACTCCTTTGTAAATCAAATTTACTATATAGTTTGTTTATAATAATATAGTTGGAACATAAACATGTCAAAGATACAGGATCCAGAAGCTGATGCTTGATTAGGATGATTGACATCTTGTATCTGATCATCAAACGAGAACTTGTCCATATTGAGAGATATTGCTCTAGAACAGGATTAATTAAAACAAAATGGCCACCGGTTGGCCATTTTGAATCAGATCGTCAAACCAACATATCTGTATATCTATGACATGATGTATATTGATTATATAAAATTTGAACATAATTAGTCAAAGCATGTCAGAGATATACTATAGAACTGCATTCATTAAAACAAAATGGCCACCAGTCATCCATTTTAAATTCGATCTGAAAAACAAAATGACGTGCATCGGGGACCCATAATAACCAATGTATGTACCAAGTTTGAACAAAACCCATCTGTAAACATTCAGGTCCGGTTCTGGAATGCCAGAAAATCTTGATTACAATGATTTTTCGGCGCAAAAATGGACATCATTTGGCCATTTTGAACCAGATCGTCAAACCAATACATCTGTACATCTATAACATGATTTATACCGGATTCTGCGGTAAATTTGCCGTTAAACGACAGTTCGGGTTTTAAAAAAAAAAATTGGGACCAAGAAACCGCCCAGGGCATTTTTTCGGCAATTTTTTTAAGGTGTTATTTTAATCTTTTCTGATGCCTAAAAGTTTCAGCGTAGTCATTGATGCCTATTCAAGAGTACCGGGTATTGATGTTTATTGCAACTAGCGTGAATGGTTTAGCTTCATTTTGACAATGAGTTATCGCTGTAAATAGTGTTGAATTATTCTTCAAATGCTCAGTTTATCTTTTGAAAACAACTATTTTTTTCATTTAAAAACAAATCATGCCACTTTCCCATCAAAATCCAAGCCAAAAGATCTTACAACAACATCGGCAAATCTCTTCCATGCTGGGTTCAATAACATTAACATATTTAAATATGGTAATTTGAACACTTTGGCATCATCCATCGTTTTCATTGGTTAATTATCGATTTGACCTGTCAGGTCAGGTCAAAACATGGCGGATATTCATTTCTACAGCATCGAACGTTGAAAATGTGATCGGAATCATTCGCTTACGATGAAATAAGTTGAAATTTATTTGCATTTCATAACAATTCAACGAATTTATTTTTTGCACGTTATTATAATCATTACTAGGTAATAATCAACAATTGTAAAACACAGCATGGCCAGATTGCCCTACCACGATCATTCGCTACTAAACAATGCAGTTGTGTTCGTTGTTATTTGAAACTTCTTTTAGAATATACTTTCGTTACTAATAAAATGAAATGAAATAATTGTATTTGGTGCACAAGGTTCGTTAATGTGATTTTTTTGGAGAAAGATGCGCGGTCTACTTATTAATCCAGCTAGAAAAAATGTATACAATTTTAGTTTCTTTCGTTTTGGGTGGTCCAACTGCCGGTGTTGAAAATCGGCATAGGTGGATTTTTCAATGAAAATATTAGCCCCCTAAAAATATTTGATGAAATTTTTTTTTAACCCCAAATAAGGGCCCATCAGCCGTGAAACCGCCCAGGGCAATTTTTCGGATGGGCGAATTTACGACAGAATCCGGTAATATACAACACGCGGATGAACGGACGAACGGGGACTGACATACCTGTACCAGTCTGTGAACGTATCAATGCATCTTTTCCATCAAGTAAATTAGGAATAGCCTCTTTCTGTACTGTGGTCATTGTTGACAGTTTCAGTCTGTTTTCCAAATTAGAAATCTACAAGAAATAATACAGTAATGTAAACACATTCTTGTTTGTATAATCTTTTCATTGCCTTTGTTAATTTTTTCGCCTTCCACAAAATAGTCCCAGTGAAATTCTGTTCACTCACATTAAATATGGTAAAATATTATACTGTAAAGTATTTATTTAAGGTAGCGAGAAGGTTTTGTGACGTTTTTAAATAAAACATTCTCTGTCTGTTGTCTCGTTCAGAACAGTAATTTAGGTTATATATATCAAAAGACTAAGTATAGAGGTGCAAGTTCGCACAAACTGGACATACATTGTTTACAAAATTATCACGTGACATCAAAAATGGCGAACCTTGTAAAAATGACTAAGTACGCGATTGCGAGAGCACACTGGTGAAATTTAAGTTATGCATTGTCC